TGCCAGGCTCCATCACGTCCTTGGAAAGGGCCTCTTTTTGCTGAGGGGAGGGTACACGGACATCATTCAGCACTCAGTACAGCCCAGACAGAAGGCAAGAATGTGGCTCCTGAGTGCTCCTCACCCTGAACAGGCCCAAGCATCACCTGGGGACCTTACGGGAAACGCAGGTTCTGATTCTGTGGGTCTGGAGCAGGACTGAGATTCTGTATTTCTATCAGAAGCACCCATGGGCCGCGAGGAGGTAATTGTACAAGGGACAACAGCAGTGCCAACCCTAGGGTTCGAGCAGGATGTCAGAGTGTCAGGGCAGGAAGGACTCTTCATCTAATCCAACTCCTTCACGGGCAGGAGAGAGAAACAGAGAGGGTAAGACACTTGCCCAAGGTCACACAGTAGCTACAGGCAGAGCCCAAGTCTTCAGATTCCCATCAGCGCTCCTGCTGCCTCCAGTGTGCAGCAGGAACTTGAGATGAATGACAGAAGCATTCAGAGGCTCCCACATCTGTTTCACACAATGTGCTTTTTGGCATTTTCAAGCCCAACCCTTACCCCCAACACACACATCTCGCCTTTGAGCTTCCACACAAAGGGAGTAATTCTGAGGGCAGATTCTCAGGGCAGATCACACTCTGCAAGAACCCTGAAGGGCGGTATCCCTGGCCCTGAAGCTCCAGCCCCTCCCTTGCTGACTGCCTGTCTTCCTGCCGGGCCTGATGTCCAGAGGGGTGGAGGACACACGTGCAGTGCCATGAAGCCCAGTGCCCTCTGTGTAGAGCATCCACTGCCCTCAGCTGTCCAGCGGCAGGCAGTAAAACGCAGCCCCTCAGCCCTGCTGAGAATGCCACAAGGTATCCTTCCTCCTCTCCCACCTGTCCAATTCCAACGTCAACCTCAGGATCAAATTCAACCATCTCCTCTTGGCTGAAATGTGTCTACTCTGTCCACCCAAATGGGGCCCCCCCTCCTCTGTCCAACAACTGCCTCACGTTTATGACTGACACACGTGTCTCTCGTCATCCCGCAGGCCAATGCCGAGGGGCTTCCTCCCTCACGCTGGTCCATTCCGGGAGCAGACACTGGTTTGTTCGCAGCTGTAGGTTTTGGACTTAATACATACAGTGGTTCAGGAAGGATTTACTCAAAGCGTGAGTGAAAGAACACTGATGGTTTTACTTTTGACAGCCTGTGCCTCTGGCACCAAATGTCCTTTAAAAAAAAAAATATATATATATATATATATATGTGTGTATATATATATACATATATATATATATATATATATATACGTATATATATTTTTTTAATTAATTTTTACAGAGAGGAAGAGAGAGGGATAGAGAGCTAGAAACATCGATGAGAGAGAATCATCGATCAGCCGCCTTCTGCACAACCCCTACTGGGGATGGGCCCGCAACCAAGGTACATGCCCTTGACCGGAATCGAACCTGGGACCCTTTCAGTCCGCAGGCTGACACTCTATCCACTGAGCCAAACCGGTTTCGGCACCAAATGTCCTTTGGTCATTCCTCCTGGATGTACCACAGGGCCCCCCACCTCAATCGAGCCACCATCTTCCTCATCCATACCCTACTTCCTGTCTCCTCCTTGGATGGCTTATTCACCCATCCCCAACCTCTAGAATCCTCCCTCCCTCTCTCTCTTACTCAGCCTTTTATTTTACGGATGAGGGAGCTGAGGCCCAGAAAGGGAACGCAATCAGCTCAAGGTCACACAGCAAGTACGTGGCCAAACCCAGGACCTTGCTCTCTGGACAGCCCGGACTCCCTCCCTAGCATGACCTCTAGTTCCTCTCCAGGTTCTGTCTCTTCTCCCCTGACTTCTCTACTCACATGTGGGGCATCTGTGCCTTGGTTCAGGCTGACAGACTGCCCTCTGTCTGGGAGAGCAATGTGCCCCACTCTCTCTCAGACATGTCCGCTGACATCTGCTCTCCGTCCTCTGAGGCCCTCTCAAAGCCACTTCCTCTAGGAAGCCTTCCTGGTCAGCCAGATGCAAAACCTGCCTCCTGTACACCCGCCCCTGGCTCCAGGCTGGTTTGTGCCTGTGGCGGAAGCTCCTTGAGGAGCTACCCTCCCCACTCCAGTGCCAGGAGCACTGTAGGCTGCAATGGATGTAGAGCAACTCCCAAAAAACAAACACAGATTAAAAAAGAAAAAGAAAAGATATAGAGCGACTCCTCTTCCAGGGCTCACGGGAGCCCTGGAGAAATAACTGCATTCTCTCCCTCCTGTCTGACATTCTCCGCTGGCTCCCACATCTAAATAAAATTTAAAAATCGCACCGCTGCCCTGACCGGTCTGGCTCAGTGGATAGAGCGTTGGCCTACGGACTGAAGGGTCCCGGATTCGATTCCCGTCAAGGGCATGTACCTTGGTTGCGGGCACATACCCACTAGGGAGTGTGCAGGAGGCAGCTGATTGATGTTTCTCTCTCTATCCCTTTCCCTTCCTCTCTGTAAAAAAAAAAAAAAATCAATAAAATATGTATATTTTTTAAAAAATCGCACCATGGTCCACAAGGTCCTGTGTTAACTGCTGCCCCCGCTCTCCCCCAAACCTGCCACCTCTCTGGCCCCATTTCCTACCATCTGTTCCCCTTAAATGTCACCTCTCAGGCAAAGCGTTGGCCAGCCAACATAAAGTAGTTCTCATCCTGTAAGCTCGCCCCTGCTCCAGGTTCATTTCAGCACTTCCCCCCATCGGCCACCGCCTGAGCATTCTGGGCTGGACCCGGCATCTGTGAGGTCGTGTACAGAAGTGGTCTGGAGGGGCCCACCCAGGGAGAGTGTCCGCTAGGAGAGGAGAGGAGAGGAGGGCCTGAGAGAGCAGAGGAGCGAATGGCCAGAGAGAGGAGGATGAACCTGCAGAAAGAGCCGCAGCAGCAGCACCGCAGACAGTACTGAGTCGCAGGAGCCAGGAGAGCGCTCCCGGAGGAAAGGAGTGGTCAGCCGTGCCGGGGCGGCTGCTGAGAAAGTTAAAGACTGAACACTGTCTGCCGAGCTCAGCTTCCTGGAGGACAGAAGTGGCCTGGCCAGACCCCCTCCCCTCTGTGAGCCTCGGACAGGGGCCATCTGTGCAATGAGAGGAACTTCTTAAGTCCTGGGAACTCTCTGCTCTGAGATTCTGTGTTTCAGCACAGATCCACATCCCAGTCGCCAGAAAGACCAGTCATCCGCCTGCAGCCTGGGAGAGGAGGAATGGCCTAATGAGCACACTCTGAGGAAGTTTCTGGGTCTGCGCTGGGCACTGTGGGGAGGAGAGCAGCCCCAGGTCCTACCAGTCAGGTCCAGCTGGTCAGTTCCCTCCCTCCTATGTGACCCTCTCGTCCTGGCTTCCCTGGATGCCTCCAGGACAGAGACCACCCCTTCCTCCCCACCAGCTGGGCAGGATCAAAGGCTGGAGGAGGCTCAGCTTCTTCCCACCAGCTGGGCAGGATCAAAGGCTAAAGTGACCTTGCTTGCTGGGACCGGTTTGGCTCAATGGATAGAACTTCGGCTTGGAGACTGAAGGGTCCTGGGTTCGATTCCGGTCAAGGGCATGTAACTTGGTTGTGGGCAGATCCCCAGTAGGGGGTGTGCAAGAGGCAGCTGATCGATGACTCTCTCTCATCGATGTTTCTAACTCTCTATTTCTCTCCCTTCCTCTCTGTACAAAATCAATAAAATATATTTTAAAAAATAATAATAATAAAAAAATAAAGTGGCCTTGCTTGCCGCTGTCGGTAAAGGGCCCTCGATGTCCTTGGGAGGAAGGCGAGACCCTGGCCAGCGACTATGCAGTCCAGCGGGGAGAACAGACCCACGTTGGAGGCCCAGTCCAAGGAAGAGGTTGAGAGGCTGTGCTGAACAGTGACCTCATTTGATTTGCACAGCAAACCTATGAGGCGGACATTCTCATGCCCACGTCACATGGAAGGAAACCAAGGCTCAGAGAGGTTCGGGGCTTTCCCAAGGTCACACAGCTAGCAAACAGCCAAGCCTGGTTTGTAATGCAGCCTGTCTGATAGAGAGCCCCTACACTTTTTAAAATAAATATACATTTTTATTGATTTCAGAGGGGAGGAAAGAGATAGAAACATCAATGATGAGAGAGAATCATTGATTGGCTGCCTCCTGCACGGCCCCCACTGGGGATTGAACCAGCAACCCAGGCATGTGCCCTTGACTGGAATCGAACCCAGGATCTTTCAGTCTGCAGGCGAGGCTCTATCCATTGAGTCAAACCAGCTAGGGAGAGGTCCCCTACTCTTAATCCTTGCACCTCCCCAGAGCTGGGGGAAGCTTTCGTCATACATTCTGTCACAAGCAGTGTGACCTTGGGAAAGGTTTGTTCCCCCTCTCCACATCTGCCATAAAGCCGATTTCTTAGTGCCCTCCCAGTCCTGACAGTCTGTGATTAGCTGGGATCCGTACACAACTTTACCGTTTACAAAAAGGCATCCATTCGGCGGCTCCTCCATCCCCCGAATCTCGCAGGGTGGGGAGAGGCAGACCCTGCATTTGACAGATGTGCAAACTGAGGTTGAAGAGATGCAGTGACCTGCCCAAGGTCACAAAGCCAGCCCGGGCCCCCGGGGCTTGTGGTCTGGAGCCCGGGTTCCACCCTGGACGCTCCTGCAACTCCCCTCCGGAAAGGGGCGGCCCGCGCGGCGCCGCACCCGACCTGGCCGGCAGGGGGCAGCGCCCGCTTCCCTCGCCACCCAGGCCCCGCGGGGGAGCCGCAGCCCCCCACCTGGGGGCGCGCCTCCTGCCCCGACCACACCGCGCCCCCACGCCCGCACCCCCGGCACCCCAACGCGCGCCCGGGACCCCGCAGCCGCCCGGGCCCCGGCCCCGGCCCCGGCCCGCCCTCCGTCCTGGGACCCGGACGGGCAGGTCCTCGGGGACCCTCTTCCGGAGGCGCCGGGAGGTGGGACGTCCCGGGCGGCCGAGGCCCGGTCCCAGGCGCCCGGCTCCGGCGGCCCCTCCGGGCGCTTACCCGCTCCCGCCGCGCGCCCGCCCGGGTCCTGCTTCCTCCGCGCGCCGCGTCCGGTCTCCCCGCCGGCCGCCGCCTCATCTCCGCGCCGCCGGAGCCGAGCTCCCTCCGCCCTCCCGGCCCTGCGGCTCCGTCTCGCGCTCCCCTTCCCGCGCCGCCACTCCTCCCGCGCCCCTCCCTCCAGCTCCCCTTTCCTCCCCTCCTCCCCCTCCTCTCCGTCCCCCTCCCGCTCCCCGCCCCCCACCCCCGCCCGCGGCCTCCGCTCCAGGCCCCCCGCCCACCCCGCCCACCGGGAGCGAGGCCCGGCCCCCTCCCGTCCGGGTCCTGCGGGAGCTCCGAGTCCCACTCCACCCCCCACCTCCGCCCTGGCCGCCGCCCCAGCCCCGGGCTCCCCATCCCCACCTGTAGGAGGGCGGGTGGCTGGTCCGGGGTAGAGGGTGGGGAGGTGGGCCACGGCCAGAGACTCTGTGGAAGCCCAGCTCCCCCATCCGTCCCTGTGCCCTGTGTCCATCGCTAGTTGGATATTTTTTCTTCTTCAGTTAACAGGTATTTATTTACCAGCCCCCTGCGCATTAGGCATGCTCTAGGCGCGGGGAGCACAGCTGGGAACAAAACAGAGGTGGATGCCATGGAGCTTAATGAACGTGGTAAGTCAATCTTAGGAGCGTTTATAGGGGTGAGGGGCATGGAAGGAATACAGCAGGGGAAGGAGACAGAGAGTAAGGGGAGGTCTCCCTGAGAAAGTGGATCTGAGCAAAGGCAGGAGGTGAGGGAGGGGTCCAGCTTCCAGTGAGGGACAGCGCTCAGAGACCCTGAGGGGACAGGGACCAGCGGGCTCTGGGGCCGCGTGAATGGCAGGAGCTGAGGTCGGAGAGGCAGCTCCTTCCCTCATTCCTACAGCCGGTGCCAAGGAAGGGGAGGCGACCCCCCAGGTTCCAGCGGGTGTGGGGATGCTGGGATGCATCTACCTGCTTGCAGAGAACGGGGGTGGAGAGACCAGGGCACAGAGAGGAACAATGAGAAACGTCCGCTGAAGCGGCCCCACGCTGGGCACGGCTGGTGTCCCGGCTTCGTGTGGCTCCCGGGGAGCTGGCCGCTGTCCTGACAGGCTCTCTGCCAATTTGGACTCCACGTATCTCGAAGCTTGTTGTTAAGTGCACTTGCCATTATGAGCCCTTGATGGGTTGACCCCTTCAACATTGCGAAGTGCCCCTCCGTCCCTGGCAGTGGTTCTTGTGAAACCTCGTTAGCTGGGTGCCGCTGGTTAACGGGCAGCCCATAAGCTGCGGAACACCTGGCCACCAAAACCCGGCAGTCCCTCCTGCTGTTCTCCTTAGTGTCCTGCTCTACCAACTCCACACCCGCCGGCCCTCCCCTCCTTTTCCCACACCGCACCCTCTTGGTTTACCAGCTGACGATCAGCCTGGATCCTTCATCTCGCTCAATCTTTCTTTTTTGGGAGGCTGGGATCAATGGGCATTAATAATGCAAAGGCCCTTTTTGTCCCAGTGCAAACCCAGGCCGATCAATCACTGGCAAACGGACAAGAGTTACATGCAGCCTCACCCCTCTTGGCCTTCTTCACTCTACTCGGGCCCTGGGCTCTCTTCCCGAATAGGAAATAGGAAATTGCCAAACGGAGGCATTTCCCCAAATAGGTACTGCTGCTGACACCCCAAGGTGAACAGCCCTAGAGGAGGAAGGGGTCCTAGCCAGGCAGCGCCGCCAGGGTCCCAGCCTGAGCCCCTGCAGCAGGGAAACCCACATGGCAGAGTACAAACAGACACACCAGGCTTCTGTCCCCCCCGGAGAAGACCCAGCAGCTCCAGAAGCTGCCCTGACCGGGGGTGAGACACAGAAGGGACCGGAGAGATGGGCAGCATCTCGGCACGCGCTAACGAAACTCCCATCACGGAACAAGAGCAGGCCAAATGGTGAGTGCCACTGGAAAGCTGGGTTAAGCAAAATTCTGGGTCTGCTGGAGAGGGCTCACGTCAGCCTCTCAGCCCTCACGCTGGGCCAGCGGGTGTGTGAAGCACAGACCCCACTCTCAGGAAGCTCACAGGCCGGGGGGGAAAAAGCCCACACGCAGTAAAGCACAACCCAACCCAAGTCGGGGGAGGGGCAGGGGTAGCAGGGGCTTCAGGGGCTCAGAGCAAAGCAGGCCCCACCGGGGAGGTGGGCAAGGGCAACCCCTGCACTGAGCCTTGAAGAGGGGTGGGAGGCATCTGAGCAAACAAGAGGGGAGGGGAGCAGAGAAGTTCCCTGGTAGAAGGAACAGGATGTGCAAAGGCCCAGAGGCTACAGAGAATTTGGTCTGTAGATGTCGCTAGAGTGAGGGAGAGTGGTCGGGATGAGGCTGGTGGGCATGCAGGGGTCAGCTCATGAAGCCTCGAATGCCAGGTGGAGGGCCTGAGGCTTTATCACAGGAGCCAGCGAATGGCTTTGAGCAAGGCTGTGGCATGATTGGACAGGGCAAAGTTGGCACCCTGTGGTACCCTGAACTCTGACATCCACGTGGGCATCACCAACAGTTCCGTCACAATCTCCATCCCTGCTACCGCCATCCAAACACCTTGGAGCGAGTCCCAGATCAGCTGCCCCTTCCAGACCATTCTCCATGCATTACTGGAGCAAGACTTCCTAAAGCATATGGATCCCCTGCCCAGGCATCTCAAGTCCCTCCTCACTCCCTCCTGCAGAGGTCCCGAGTCCCTTATCCCGGCATTCCAGGCTCTTCCCAGTGTGTTCCCACTCTCTATGCCCTCCCTGACTTCTTGAACCTGGCTCATGCTTTTTCTTCCATTCAGAAAGTCCTGGCCCTCGTTTCCATTGGTTAGAGTCCTACTCACTTTGACACCTCCTTGGTCTCCCATGACTCATCCTTCAAGGCCCAGCTCTGAAACGCCCTGCTCTGTGTGGCCCTTCCCACTCCTCCTGATGGAGGTGGTGAGTCCCTCCTTAGAGGCTGATGCAAGGATCAGGCTGAATTTGAATCCTGATTTCTCAGTAGCTGTGCAACCCTGGACAAGTCATCTCAATTCCGAGAGCTAGCTCACAGGAAAAGGATAACAATAATAGTACTTCTTCATGGGGTGATGAAACCGTGCATCTGAAGTACATTGCACGGTGCCTGGCACAGAGTGAGCCCTCCCTGAGTGCTCCCTGCAGTATAATGGCCACACCATTCACATTTATTTTGTGTCCATCTCCCCTAATATTATGAATTTGGGAAGGGGGTATTATTCACCTAGGTATGCCCCCATGCCTACCACATGGAAGACATTCAACCAAAGATGGATGGATGGGTGGATGGATAAATTAATGAAAAAAGAAGCCACCTGGCCACTCCTGCTCCCCTAGAGTCCCCTCTGCTGAGGAGGTGGAAGTCTGGCTTGTTCATTTCTGAACGGGGTTGAATGAATTGTGGGTAAGAGGACTCTCGTCTGGGGCACGCTTTGTTGTCAGACAGTCTATGGTTGGCAGTTTCTTCTGGGGCCAGCTGTCTAGACAGAGGGGACATCTGCACCACCGAGGAGCAGGGACAGCATGGGAATCAGGATCCAGGGGAGGGTTTTCTTCCTCCATCACGCAGGACCTGGCAGAGCAGGTTTGCTGTCTGCCGCCAGCAGTAGAAATTAGTTCCCAGCTTCCACCGGGGGAGACAACCAAGAAGGGCTCCGCATGTCCCCAACCAGCCAGTGACAAGGGTAAGAGAAGGTTGGAGAATCCATCAAGGAGAGGAACTGAGATGTATTGAGCAGTTTTTAATGTGCTAAGCACGATGCTAAGTGCTTACCATGCATTATCCTCTCTGCAGCTCCGGGAGGGAAGCACTTTTGTGCATTGCCACTCGATGAAGAAAGAAACAGACACAGAAAGTAAGCGACGTTCCCTTGCAAGGGTCAGATCAGGATGGGACCTGGGTTATGTCTAACTCCCAGGCCCATGCTCCTCCCTGTGAATCACACATTTAGCCAACTAATGCCCTGAGCACCTTCTCTTTGCACAGGGCCTGTGGGAAGCGGCGAGAGGCTAGCAGGGGTAATTAAGCCGTGACTTCTTCTCTCCAAGAGCTTATCACCTGAGGACAGAAGTGATCTCACTCAGCGCTGTGTTCCCAGCCCAGGGCCTGGCAGTACCATGAAAGTGGAATAAAGCACAGATGTCAGACCCGGAAGGCTCTTTGGAGTTCAGGTATACCCACCCTGTTTGCTTACAGATGGGGAAACGGAAACCTAGAAGTTGGAACTAACTGGAGACCATGGTAAGGGGCTTGGGCTCTGGATCCAGACTACTTGGTTTGAATCTCAGCTTTACAGCACTTACCAGCTGTGTGACTTCGGGTTGGTCAATTAACCTCTCTGAGCCTCAATTTCTTTGACAAAAAAAAAAAAAAAAAAAAAAGGATGGTTTGGTTCCATGGACAGAGCATCGGCCTGCAGACTGAAGGTTCAGTTCTGGTCAAGGGCACATCTCGGGGTGCGGGTTCAATCCCCAATAGGGGGTGTTGCAAGAGGGAGCCAATCAATGATTCCCTCTCATCATTGATGTTTCTATCTCTCTCTCCCTCTCCCTTCCTCTCTACAATCAATAAAATATATATTTAAAAGGATGGATTTGTGAGAATTAAATAAGATCATCTATGCAGCCCTGACCAGTTTGGCTCAGTGGATAGAGCGTCAGCCTGCGGACTGAAGGGTCCCAGGTTTGATTCTGGTTAAGGGCCTGTACCTTGGTTGTGGGTACATCCCAGTAGGGGGTGTACAGGAGGCAGCTGATCGATGTTTCTCTCTCATCGGTGTTTGTAACTCTCCCTCTCCCTTCCTGTCTGTAAAAAAAATCAATAAAATATATATTTTTAAAAATATCATCTATGCATGGAGCTTAGCATAACACTTAACATGTAATCCCACAACAGTTGGCTCCGTTTGTGATGAACTCAGTGAGTTAGGAACAGATCTAGGCTAGACCCTGGGCTTCCTGACTCGAAGTCCAGTGCTCTTTCCAGCTCCTCAGGTTCCTTATGTCCATTAGAGTGTGGTCAGGGGAGAATGGGAGTCACTTAGGTG